ATACAATTATAATTTTAATTAAAAAAATGCTCTAACGATAATTATAAATTCATATAAAATATGTATCTATTGATTGACTTTAAAATAAATTACTAATAAAAAAATAAAAATATTATAAAAATTGTTAAGTTGTATCAGAAGTATATTAAAAAAAAAATTCAAGAGTTAAACCTTTTCATTTTGCTCTTGAACTAGAAATTAATTTTTTTGTAGCAAACACATTTATTGTAAAGTTATGCTTTGAAATATGGAATGTAAAAATATATTTAAATTAACACAAAAATAAACATACATTTCTTACATAAAAAATTCAAAATGACAGTTAATTTTTAACATTTTAAATTATTGTAATAACTTATGGGTATAGTGCCATTGGTCATACTAATATTTAATCTTATAACAACAATTATTTTATAACTATTTCTTAAACCAATTTAAATAATTAAATAATATTGTAGTAAACACTCCAATATGTAAAATGATAAACTATTATTTATTACAGAAAAATAAATTTATTTTATTTTTTTATTAATTTAACTAATAATAATTATAGTAAACTTTTCAAAAGCCTAATAAAACTTATATGATTGTTAAATATTAAAAATAATTTATTAGTAAATAAATATACTTTAATTCTTAAAATTATTGTTGGTAAATTTCATATGATAAAAAGTTAAATCAAGTATTAAGTTATTATTTTAAGACACTTATTTGTGTATGCTTTTTTTCGGGTATTTGTATTATAAATGTTAATTTTTAAATGTGTAAAATTGTATTTTTATTTTACTTAGTCATTTTTGTTTTTATTACCAACAAGAAATTTTACACAGGTGTTTCTATGACACTCAAATTTAAAAGTATTAAAAAGCAATTATAATAATTGTAATAAAACAGCTTCTCAATAAATTTCAGTTTATATAGAAGGAAACCTTACTATTACAATTACATAGTAATAAAACAAAATTAATATTAATTTAAATATACTAGTTGAGTAACAGGCTTTGTCCCATGTGCAATTTTTGTGACGATTTCCTCATGTTCTATACACTATATATACTATATATCTCAGTTTGAGTGTACCTMAGTTTTAGTATACTTCAGTTCACGACAAAGTGGCATAAGTTTTTCCTAGCTTTGTTAAATAGATTTCAACCTTGTAATTGCAAGTCACGGATTGAATTTAGCACTTCTTATATTTGTAATGGGGTTTTTAACTTCTTACCATCAAAACTTTTCTGAAATCTCTAAAAGCAATTTCTGAGATTTAATTTCTTTTGGATACTTTTTATCRATGGAACAATATTTAAAAAATAATAAACCAAATAACTGATTGATATTAGAAATTCCAATCATTTTAGTTTTTAGAAGTTAAATATATATGTACGAAAGAAGCACTGTGTTGCTTCAAAAAGATTATCTTACAATTTGACTGCAAAAGAAATCATTCAAAGAATAAATACTAAATCTWTAAATTGTAATTTTTCATTCAAAAATTCAAATTTATTAACTATTTGAATTGAAGAGCATAATAATGCTATTATCAAATGTAATTAATACTATTAATCAAAAAATAAAATTTAAAAACCATTAACCATTAACCATATAGTGAACATTTGTTTAAATCTTCACCAAGTATTTGAAAAACAAAAATATGTAATATATGTATCATCACAAGATGATATTAGTTAGAAATTAGATTATTATGTAATGAAACATCTATGTACTCATATAAATTTATAAATTAATTTTCACTATATTATAATCAATTGTTGCTAATTTRTTCATAATACATTTCGTGCATTGAATGTATAATGTAAAAATTAAATCATAAATGATGATATAATTTTATTGAATTGTGATTAATAAAAAACTACTTTAAAATTCAATTTTTAAAATGTATATCTATTTATAAAGTAGTAGATTAAAGTTGAATAATTTTATACTTAGTTATCTATTTTTATATAAATATCTGAATTTAAATTGTTGAATTATTACTATATTAGCACAATAGCACTCTTCTTCATGATATGTTATAATTCATGAACTATGTATATTTGTWTTATAATTATAATATAATATATATTATATCGGTCTATAACAATTTAGGAAACAATTCTGTTATTTGGCTGGCACCCAAAATTCTTAACATGTCGATAATAATTCACAATTCAAAAGACATAACTATAACCATGATTGTTTTACTTAATATATTTCTTAAAGATGGAATTTTGAGAAAATTGAGGTAAGACAATTTGCACCTTTGGTTTAGTGAAAATTTTTAGGCTAATTTATGTGTTACAAATTAGTGGTATTATGAAATTGTTGTAAGGTTTAGTTTTATGGCTCATTTATGTTACAATTAAGGAGGTTGGAAGTTCTCCATTATTAAAGAGAATGTGTTAGGTAACTGATTGAAGTGTGAATTCATATTTTGTAGTTATGTAATAACTAAACAAACATTAATATGAGAGTCYAGCGCGCTACTACTATCGCCTGCATTTGTCATGAACTTTCAGGAAACTAATTAGTGGTTTACTCGTGCAAGCACAAGTCAATAATTTGATTTGACAAATATTTTGTTTCAATAAGAAACTAATTTTAATAAATTTAAAGCTAAAAGTCTGACAAAAATATGCCAACTTAGAAGGACCAGATTTTAATTTTGTAAAAACATTTATACTTGTTATACTAAGTTATTGTGGAAGTCAAGTTTTGAATAAATTATTAACTTCCTTAAAAAGAACATTAATGTAAACCTTAGGTAGAGTTAAAATAAATATATATAAATAAAAATGGAATTTAAGAACAATTATAAAAGAAATATTAAATCAATTTCCACAAAACCTAGAAATATGTCTATTCAAGTGGTCATAATTTTATTAGGCTTTAAGGTCTAAAACATGAAATAAATATGATGCTTCCAACCCCCTTAATATAGTTTTATGTTATCTTTGTAATTATGGGTATTAACTTATATATTTAAATTATTATCTTTTACCAACTAGGTTTATATGATATATATATAATCGATTAATTTCAGATTTGCATTAATAGTTTTAGTTAGTATTAGTCGTGCCACAAATGTAAACATTTTTAATATAAACATTTACTTTCAAAATTTAATGGCACACATTTTTCACTATTAATCTTATTATAAGAAAATAATAACAATAATATACATAAAATTTTTATTTCATTTGGAATCATAGATAAAAACCATCAAAATTTCGAAGAACGGCAAGTTCATTTTAATCAAAATAATCAACAAACACATTATGATAATGGTATGTCAGTACTGTTTGGCATTATGAATAAAATTTATTTTGAACTGTGATATTTGTTATAACTTTATAAGTTACCTATAAGTGAATTTTTATGTTGAATATTTGTATTTTAGATAAGAATTATGGAATGGCCCATTCTATAAGTCCAACCAGGTTAATGTCTCGTGATCAAAGTTTATCTCCACGAGTTAATATGATTCGTCCTCCGTCTCCTCCTTTGCCTTATTCTCCTGAACGCGATCATTTCAATTCTGACAACAATATGTTACGCAGAGATAGACCAAAGCGCTCTCCAGAAAGAAATGTTCATGATCGTCCACCAAGGACAGAACATTTTTTGGAACAGTAAATAATTGCATCTTGATTARTTTTGCTTGTATAATTGACATATACAAATTATATGGTATTTTTTAGACTTAAGATGGATAATTTTTCTTCTGGTCCTCCTCCAGAACCTAGATCACCTGAAATGCAACGTTTTAGACCGGGTGATCACAACAGACACCGTTCAAAGGATGACTCGATTCATTATGACGAACGCTCTAGACGCAGTAGATCTCCTGTATATTTTGACAATCATTACCAGTACAACAGAAGTGTATCGCCCAATAACCGACCATTTTCTCCTAATCATGAACAACAATTGCCAACAACCCCACCATCTTTACGTGAGCTTTCTTCACCTTTGAGAGATCGTCCACCATACCCTCCTAATGAACGTTCTCGAAGGAGACGCACACCACCGTCTAGACGGGATCGTTCAAGAGAGAGGCGCCGTCGCATTTCGCCTAGAAGAAGAACACCACCACCAGTCCGTTCACCTTTAAAGCGTAGAGGTTAGCGCAAAATTTATAAAAATTATAATAATCTATTTGATTTTTAATAATGTACCAAAACATTTTAGTTTTTATTATTATTCTTTGTTAACCTATAAACATAATATACTCTCAGTATTATTTATATATATCAGCCATCAGGTGAGTATAACTAGTATTTATAATAATTAATGATATGATATAAAATAAAATGATATTCAGTTTTAGTAGGATATTATAATTTACTAGTTATTTATTAATTGTGTAAGTGGTACTCTCCAGAAAGCCAAAATAATTTCTGTTTTTATGTATTTTAAATGTATAGGTACTTACATTAATCATTTTATATTCATATTGTTTAAATATTAACAATTTCTATACTCTTTTTATATTTTATTTTGTGTAATATTATTAGAGAATGGTAAAAAACGAGGACCTATCAAAACTCAGGAAGTACGTAAACGAGAAGCCAAAGAAAGAAAAAGACGATCTCAATCCAAGCCAAAATCTGCACCACAACAAGTAATTATGCTTTGAAATAGTAATAGTTTAAATTAATTTATATTAATTTTATTTTAGGAACAACAGCAACAACAAAATTCATTCCAGCAACCTCAACAGCAGCCTATCTATCCACCACCACCACCACCACCACCTGGAGTAGTTCGAATGCCACCAAGACCTTACCCTCCAGGGCCAATGATGATTCCACTACGACCCCCTCCCTTTCCACCACCAATGGGAGCATGGAGGCCTCCACGTCCACCAATGCAAGCACCACCTTCTGGTTGGCCATATCCACGTAAGTTTTATCACTTAAACTATTTACGGATAATAAACAATGACCTTTTATATGTCTCGTAAAAATAATAGGAAGATTTTTTAAGTTTGTACCTATAGTTAGATTAATTTAGTATTATATATATTATATTCCAGGTTTCCTAAACTTTCATTTTAGTTTAAAGCCCTTTCCAACCCTATACATTTTTCATTAAAATTACCCTAGTAACTGACAAAAGATAAGGTACCTACTTCTTGTGGTTTAATTTAAAAATACAAAGATATTTGATTTGATAAATAAGTCAACTTTGCGGAGGTCATAGCTTTTTTTTAACATTTATTTAATAATTTTAATAGTTTTAAATATATTTAATATATAAAATTGAAAAAGTGCTCTGACCAAAGTAAACTAATCTTGTTTATSCAAACATCTTAACATTTTTTAAATTTGATCATGGAGGCTCTTAAATATTTTGATCTAACGACAAAATTGAGGGTGCTTTATAGTGTGGTAGGTGATAAGTGGGGATTATACACACACAAAGATGAGCAGTGACCAAGGACGACAATGTGTATAGGTGTACTTTTGTTCCAATTGAAYAAAGCTAGGTATTTAAACTTTTTTATCTTGCGCTCCTTTGTGTGTTCACAATATTTTTAAGAGCTACCTATTAAGAAAAAATTAAAACAATACTATAAATAAATATTAATTAGTGATGGTRMACCACACTGTTTAAGCAGCCAAGTCATCACTCCAAACTTTTCTGATACTATACAGACCATTCTTTATATTTGGGCCCATATAAAGATTAATAATGTAATGTAGTATAAACGTTTTATAATAGATTTATTCAATTTGTCTGGTTGTTTTTCTTTGTACAACTCATAAATTTTTATCTGCAGTTTTGCACTGTTTTTAAGCTTAGCTGGTAATATTTGTTTGATCCATCAAGGTGTTAATCAAACTCATACCTCTTGATTTTGTTTAATTTACTTCTTGTTCCACTATTTCGCTTACCCAAACTGGTTTCACCATCTCTAGTAAACCACATCTAACATATCATAGGCATTAAATATTTAAGGTTGTTGATAAATTAAGGATTCTTAATAATATGTTTTAGTGTACCTTATTGTTTATACTTTACAAAATTCTATAATGTGGTATTTTAGTAAATTGTTGATTTTTGTATTTCTTGAAGCTGTATCACCTAGATATGTTTTAGTAATAATTTTTCATCTTTATTTGGCTTATTAGTTATTTAACTTATCTTCAGTAACTAGTTTGTTATTTATATTTTTCTTAGTGCTGGGTATAGTTAGGGTATACAATTTGGCGATTTTTTAACATAAAATATACTTTATTATAATTACTTTTATTTGTAGAAGTAGTGTTAGGAAAACACCGAGACTGATATCAATGACAATCTAAGTTATATTATAGGCATTAGCATTTTATATTTGCATCTACATTCATTATTTATTAAGCTAAAAATCTTTTATGACATAGTTTATTCAGAATTAATTTACATTTTAAAGAGTTTTTATGTTGCTTAAGTTCTTGAAAGTTTTTATACTAACCATGCTAATTGTATTTTCTTTTTGTATTTTAGTATATTTTTTATTTTTRGAAATAAATTAAAATATTCAAGTTAATATTTTGGTTAGGCAATAATTCTTATAATTTAAAAGATATGAATAAATATCAAATAAATCTCAAAACTTCCTAAATATTACTACTGGAAATAAACAATTTTGACAGTTTTTTAAGCACTCTTCTTGATTTATAACTATGTTTGGCATTAATAAAAAAATAAATATCAAAATGGTTATTTTATAAAATTCATTTCACACGAGAAAATATTAATCTATATGATCCAAAAATCGATTATGTGACTTACAGACTTTTTAGCATACTGTTGTTATGTTTCTATGTACAAATTTCATGATTTAAAATTCTATATTTTTTTGATTTTACTAATTTTCTTGGTTGAAAACTATGTTTACCACAGTTTTCCACTGGCGAGACTTAATAGTTGGATTATTATTATTTTAATTTTAATTTTAAATATTTTCTTTTGTAAGTAAATTTATTTATTTTTTTAAATTTATGTTTATTCTTTTCAATTATAGTAAGGTAATAAAAATTAAATTAACGACAAATTTAAAATTAAAATTAATCAATGCTAAAATGTCTATTAACTTCATATCTAGTTATTCATAGGTTTAATATTAATTGACTAAGTATGCTTCGCCAAGAAAAAGGTTGCATTGCAGTTAACTGTGGTATGATTACAAGCTGACAGCTGTGTTTATAAACATTTATCTTTGATCTATGCAACACAATTGAATACAATACAATCTTGTCTTACTAAATAAGATTATAAATATGTAATTAGTTTTTACTATTTATTTTGTAACTTTACAAACACTATTGTGAACACATTCTTACTTATAGTTATTATGTTTAATTTAATAAACAGCTTGCCAAGTTATTCACTAATGTAAAAATATATTAGTGATAAAACAATGTACCTATGTAAACATATTTTGGCAGTACATTTAATCCATTTTKTTTAGTTTTAAATGTTATTTTAATGTTTTGAATGTTTTTACAGGCCCAAGGCCATTCTACTTCCCCTACTAAATGGAGTGACTACGAATATTTAGATTTTAATATTCCTTTAAGTGTGTGTATTTCAAACAGTTTTGAGTTAGATGATAAAAACAATTCCCAGATAATTAATGTTTTATCAATACTTAAAAATCATACTATTTATAGGTAATCATAATAACTAAGTTTTTACCTTACATATACTCAATATTTATTTAAACTTTTATTATTATACTTATTATTGTGATCTTAAAAAAAAAAAAAAAATAATAATAATCAATTAGAATATTTCAGTAAAAAAAAAAAGCTGAAAATTAGATTTACAGTTATTTTACTATTGTATTTCCATTCATATTAATTAATCTTAGTGACCATATATGTTTTATTTAATAATTTCACAAAAATAGTGTGATGTGATTTAATAATATATGTACGTTTATTTAAAGTATTCATATTAACTATTTTTGTGTCATAAAATTAAATCAACAGTATATGTGTTGTGTGTGTGACATTATAAAGAACATAATAACCAAGTTTAATAATTAAACATTTTTACAGAATCTTATATGTAAAAATTTCTATAATATATTTATTATGTTTACAAAAATATTAGAATAACATCCAATTATTATATTTTTAAGTTACATATATAAGTTAAAAAACAATRGAAGACTATTAAATTTACATAATATGTAGATCAATATTTTTTCGATGGAATCATCACAAAACAAAAACATTTTAAATTTAACTACGATTATTTTTAATTAAAAATATTACATTACATTTAAACATTGTCGTACCTATGATAGTTAAATTTCTATTAAATTTGTGTTTAAATACTTGATGTAGTATTATTTAGTAGTCATAATATGTCTTCTGTATTACTATAATATTATATAAATAGGATTATTCAATTTAATATTACAAATATTGGCATTATATAAATTAGAATTAGAAATTCAATTGAGTTACTGTCATTTGTTAAGTATTTATTTTGAGTGATCCTCTTTATATTCCAACAAATAATTATGTTATTTTAATTATTAATACAATTTATTCTGCATGACCTAAATTTATTTTACTTGTAAGTTAAATTGATAATTTCATTACTAATAAATGTTAATTTGTGTGAAATTAGGTAATTCTTGTTTAATTGCTGCAGTATTACAGATATCTTAAATATTAACCGAAACGTCTTATGAATCTTAACTGGCGTGAAAAATGTATTTTTATTCACGTTGAAAAATCAAATTTTAAAACCATCATATCAACTCTAGTTATTATTCGTCATTATTGTAGATGAAAATATTTTAACTCTCCTATCGCAAAAATAGCCTACAAGCGGCGGCGGATGTCAGTGTCGTGCGTGAAAAACTTTTTTTTTTWAATTATTTGTCAGCTATAATAGATGGTTGCTTGCACACTAATATAAATAAATAAACACTTGTGACTCCGCTTGCCAGTAATCAACAATGTATAATTATTAATTATCGTAGTGAAAACTGACGCTGCATGGTTCATAAGTCGATCGGGAATATCGAAGCGGCCAAAATTACGTATACGACTGGCCTGCAGCAGTGCAGAGAGAATATCAAGTAATGCACATGCACGCCACCTGTAGAGCGCTACATTTGGTCCGCTCTCAATTGTTGTAGGATTACGCGTACTTGGTGTAAAAGTCAAAAGTTAATATTACATTATTTTTTTTTTAAATTGTAACGTCGACTAATTTGATGCATCACGTCTTGTTAATCGTTTGTTTAAATCAAATATCATCGATAATTCGTGTTTTTTTAAGTGCATTAGTTTTCGAAACAACGAATTAAACGTGGACGAAAGATTAATGAACGACTTCTGCAGGACTACGAGAATGCGAAGACGACGAGAAGGAAACGTGAACGATAATTATTGATTATGATTATCAAAGGATTTATGTAGTATAAATTCAGGGTCGAATTTAGGTAGATCTTTTTGATGAGTTATACTTAATTCGAAAGTATTTTAAATTAGAAAGGATTGATTAATCCTATAAAAATGTATGAATAAAAATATAAAAGTGTGTACATGATATTAATTTATAAGCAATTATTAATATATTAAATTAATTATTTTGCATAGTTTTTTCCCTCCCAACTAAGAATTATAAAAACTAATAAATATAATAATATACAATATACCTATAATTTTTAATTAAATTAATTTTCAAACAATTTTTTTTCGCTATTTTGGAAGCCAACTCCTGAAGCATACTATTTAAATCCGATGATCTTAATGAATCTCAGATTATAATCATCAACATGGGATCATTGATAAATCTACAATTTTTTGCGGTTAACCGATTCTGAGATTAAATCAGTGGTTCTTAACCGGTGTTCTACGGAACACAGGTGTTCCATGGACTTTGTATAATTGCTCCGTTAAAATGTTTTAATCAGTGGAAAAAATCCAAAAAGTAAGTTTCATTGTTTTAAAATGTTGACTTTTATGGACTTCTAAAATATGAAAGTATAAACKAGTATATTTGTACGGAATGTTACTACTAGAGGTGTTAGCGACTATTTTAATAACAAAATGGACAAATTTCTAAACGAAAACATAATTTTGGAGATGATATAGTGGACAATTTTTAAATGATTGTCAAATTTCCCTTTGCGTGGTTTGTGGGGAAAAGTTTTCTAATAGTGCCAACAATGACATCAAAGAAAATAAAACGGCATTTTTCATCTAAACACTATTCTCCATTTTTTTTTAAACTTTTTATTTTATAATTATGATGTACTATAAAATTTAAAAATGTATATAAATATTGTTGTATTTTACGGCCGTGTTCCGGGAAAATTTTATAAAATGGTACGTGTTCCGTCATTCGATAAAGGTTAAGAACCACTGGTTTAGATCAAAGTACCCTTAGTTTAACGTGAACAAGTAAAACGTATAGTACTCTCCCCCATAAGTAAGCACACATTGACTAATATGATGATAATAAATCAACGTTCGACATTTTGGAGGTACATCTAAGTGGTGATGGGTATACAAATAAAAATGTAAACACTAATAACGTCTATTTTATTATACTAAAGTACCTAGTATAAGACAGTGAATGCGAGAAAGTCGTATCTGTTTGTGTCCAACTGTGGTTGATTCATTGCGCAAACCAAATTGGTATTATTTTGTAACCGATTTGTTTTAAATGATGTCGTCATACAAAATATATTTTGTACGCGCAATTTAATGCGCACACARCAATATAAATATTATAGTTATAATCACCGTAATGCATACTAAATACGTTTTAAGAAAATAAAATAATAGTAAATCATGAAAAATGTACACTATGCTACTCGTATTTTATTATTTTTCAACCTAGCACGAGATTATTTATCTAATAATTTATGTTTAACAAATGTAATAGTTGGCAAATATTCTTTCTTAAACTTTTAACGAAACGCATTTTATCAATCTAATAATAATGTGTAACTACGTACACGTGAAACGTCATAACTTATTTTTATTTTTTTTATTAGAAATCAAAAACAAAACATATTGAATAATTGATTACCTACCTCCTGTAAGCTTATGCAGCTTGTGTTGGAGATAGGGAGTATTATGATTACTGCTAAATATAACAAAAAGAACATGAACTAAATATATATGAATTTTAAAATTCAACACTACAAATTCAACAAATCAAAAACAACAAAAAAAAACAACTTAAATTTAAGGCTACAGAAAATATTTTTAAAAGACAAGGAAATAGTTTTATGTTATATAGAACATTATTGACAAATAAATAAATGATAAAATTAAGATAAATTAAAATAATGCGCTATAGGTACTGCCGGTACAACTGATAATTGGAACAAATTGGATTATATTACCGCAAATCATTATTTAGTTGTAAGAATAGATGTTTGTATATCAAGCCTTTAATGTTTACAATTTCACCCCCAAGTATCTTTTTTTTAAATCATAAGGCATAGAATTGAAAAAAGTTGGGCCCTGAGAGTCCACAAAACGCTGACTGAAAGATTTATTTGCACATTTAATAGTCAAATCATATTTCCTCAGTTCTCTTTTGTAACTTAACGCTGTATAATTGTTATCTGAATGTAATTTCTTAACCACGCACATAATAGCAATTTTTTTATATAAAAACCTTATTGGCAACACACCAAATTGTTTATAGTTAGCATTCGTAGATCCCTGTAGAGTGAGTTTATTTAGACAAATCCTAACTATATTATTTTGATTGACTACAAGTGCATTTAAAATGTTGTCTCGAAGTCCACCCCATGCCAGTATACCATATTGGAAATTAGATTGATAAAGTGCAAAGTAAACTATTTTCATTGTTGGTTTAGGTACTAAGTTTTTGAGTTTGACCATTTTATAAGTAATGAGACGTAGCTTTCCTAATAAATTGTTAATATGCATATTCCATCTTAAGTTATAATCAAATATAACGCCCAAATATCGATTTTTTCAACTATTTTAATTATTTTGCAGTTTTGTTGATTAACATTTTAGATCAGTTTTATTTATTGAGAACGGCATAAACATATATTGTTAATTGTTATATTAATTTATATCTCAAGTATCTAATATTAAATTCTCCCAAAATATGTATAAGCCACTACAGTACAATAATTTCACCGTAATCCAATGGCTGCAAACATACTAATAAAATATTCTGTATAAATCCACCTGTGTTGTATCGAAATGTTCATAAAATCGATATCCGTATCGTTATAACGTTTGTAGTGGGTATATATATATTTTTTAAATGGATTTTCTAATTTATTGGACACTCTTTCTTTTGTAATTTTGCTTTTTTAACCTATGTAGTTTAGCATACTGAAAACAATGGTAAAGTCAAAATTCGAYGTTTGAATTTAGTAAAAGCAAATTGAAATGTCGTATATTCCTGGTGTGAACAACTCGCTCGAACTATTTTATATTGTCTATAGGAATGTATCGTTATTATATTTACAAYATACAACAATATATTATTGTAATAAAAACAACTAGCTGTGATAACAAATAATTAATTAATACTTTATTAAAAAGCACGAGATGTGTGAGCCCGCGGTCTCTATGAAATATTAAGACTGGATTGCTGTTCGCCTGGTTGCGCGAACCAGTCTGCCACGTCCTAACCACGTCTTTAAACTTGCAAAACACTAAAAAAAAACCCCAAACATTCTTTTAGTTTTAACGTTTCGCGAT